CTACGACACGATGCAAAGGATTTTGATATGGTTTTCACTACAGTTTTAGAATGTCATTAGAAAATATTTATATGTATAATACATGCATATGATATACGACCTCCGTTACATATATAGTACACACGTGCAACGCAGAGGTACTTACGTTGCTAGTTTATCACAAAAGTAGGTTTATATAATCAAGTTTGTACGTAAAATAGATCGTATCAAGGTAAACCAGCTTCAATACTGGTTTTACAACCATTTTGTTGACGCTGGATTAAGAAACACTAAAACGACTAAACAGTTTTGAATACAGACAGATTGAGACAAATGTGAGTCTAGATAGTGTAGTAATGATTCAGAAAGTATAAATATCGCCCATGCCCCGAGAATTACAACAAAATAATTGATCACTTCCATTATGCAACATAAGGCTACCGCCATTATCTCTTTAATAAATCTATCAAATTTGATTATCTAATAAGATTAGATTATCAAATCGGTACGTTCCTCGGTAAAGTCAGAGTGATAAGAAATATTTCCAATAATCAGACTCAATGTCTGCACACAGATTGATACAATTACTGTTACCAATATAGAATTGACTAATTGAAAACTAAGTCCAAGTGGAAATAAAACATAAAACTAGTATTAAAGCAATCAGTTTGATAAAAAAACCACTGATAAAGATGAATGAACTGAAAATAACCAGTGGATTATTAACGGAAAAAATATATGTATATAGCGATAATGTAGATAAATGTGTTATTACTATTATTATATGGCTGATAATGTAATTATATCAAAATATACCATAATCCATATCAATATTATAAACGCGAAAGTGTGTCTTTCTGTTTAGCTTACCATGACGAAGGATATATGTTACTTCTTGTCCTAAAAACAAAACATGATGAAGTGAAACAGGAGATGAAAGTTAGTATGGGGAATTAATTATACCTCAAGTAAGCGACCTAGATACACATTCGACAAATATTGTACTCCGACTATTAATATTACGTTGACAAAGTTGCAGGCATCAGCTAGACCCTTATAAAGGCAGGAGAAGCACACGAGCGTGAAGGAAAGGGAGTGATAAAAATAAGACGGCGCGATGTTGTGGGCAACAGGGCCGGATTGGGGTCAATCGCTTGAGGCCATCTGCGGTAGCTAATTATAGACGATTTGAGACGAACCCAATAGTGCAATAACGATCAAACTACCAGCTAGGCACACGAGAAAAGCATAGAAAATGTTAACGTTTGGATTTATACATATAGGAAAACTTTGAAGCATGCAGAATTTTAAATAAACAACTTCTTAAGAATTTATTTATTTCTAGCTGTGCCAGCGGTTACATCCGTGTGAAATTTATAGCCTACATGTTATACTGATGTATAAGCTATGTTACTGTAAAATTTCATCAAAATCCGTTTAGTAGTTTTTGTGTGAAAGAGCAACAAACATCCATTCATACTCATAAACTTTCGCGTTTATAATATTAGTAAGACTTCTAATTTAATACATTATATTTTTTTCTATTTCAAATTATTTTCTTGTACGATTATTTGCACAATTTCTTTTTAATACGCTTTATTTCACAGTATATCGTATATTATTGTTATTAGTTGAAGACTGGAAACCTATTTGTATGTAATAGAACAGCCATGTCAGTTCAGCACATAAATGAAATCAGTACTACATACAATGTTACTATTTTACACACTGTGCTATGCTAAAACGAATACATAATAGGTGCATTTGGTTTACAATAGGGGAATGTGTATTGAAATATACTAGTTTGGTGGTATCTCAGTACGTTAAATTGAACGATCTATGCAATAAATAACTGTCTGTATTTAGATATATTTACACAAGTGTTAAAAATGTTATTAGGTAATAAAAACACTGCTGCTGCGGTACTAAAACTATAATTTACAATATCAATTCAATATATTGTTTAAATATTATTATTCAATTCAGTTATCAGTTGTTTGCAAACAATATTAATATAAAATTAATTTATGTGAAGGTCAATAACAAAAATTACGAGAATATTTTATACATGCTTGAAGGCGAATAGGGACGTGTTTCCTGATCGTTAAAAAGAGGAAGTCGTTAGAAACTCTACAGTGACATCGATTGGAATTAAATAACGGCGTTATGTAGATGATCATATCGCCTGTTTTTATTTATACTACTATGGTGGTAAACATGCATACGGCCTATCTGATGATGAATGGTTACCGTAGCCCATGAACGCCTGACAGACACCAAGGGTGTTATGTGCGTGTTGCCGACCCGTAAGAAATCTTAAGATATCGTTCTTGAAAAACCCTTAATACTATAGTGATTTATTACATGCATGTACTTGTTAATCTAATAGTAAATAAAAATATTTAAACGACGATCGAGTCAATTAGTTTAGCAATGCGCCTTGATACAAATATTTGTGTTCTTTTTGAAACATTTGGTCCCAAATATTCTATGTATTATGTATGTCACAAAAAAAAGCAGACATTAAACTATTTCTATCAGTTGTTTAGTAATCATTGTTGAGAAACTATTTTAATATTAATGTATTTAAAGATTATTTAATTTCTAATAAAAATATAATATTATGATTTAATTAAAAATTCTATATACGTAGCATTACTGTGTGTAATGCTACCATTAACATATTTATCTTTTTTTAACTGTTTTACACTATATTTGTACAACCATCGCAAAAATTTTACTTAATTTAGGAGTCGATAATACCCTGTGGTTTGTCCTAGGTCATTATTATTATAAAATTTACAATCAATTCCATAACAATTTAACACTTATATACTGAACCAATATTTTCATAGAAACTCTTTCAAAAGATTTATTTACTGCGATTCCAAACTTCAAAATGGGCTTTATTTTGTTTTTGATAATTACAGCTTTTATGCAAATAAATAGATGATATTTATATTATTATAAACACGGATGGCCTTTAAGGAAATTGTATGTATTTACGCAACTACCGCGTTATATTGAATTAAATTAAGAACCAAACTTATACTATTACTTAACCGTGACATACAGCTTATATATTACATTCTAGATTAGTAATGCATGGCATTATTACTTTTATCGGCTGGTTGTATTACTTCGTCAATGTTATGAGAGCTGTTATCAACTTTTATTGGGGTTCAATGTTTTATCAAAGTCAAAAGCATTTGGTCATATACAACATTTTGGTAACTTTTCTTTTCTGCACGCCGATCATTATTATTCTTGTTTAACTAAATATTAGAAATAATACAAAAAAAATCTTGTAAGAACACTTCATACAGTGCCGTCTAGTCCCAAGTTAAGCAATATGGGTAGAAAATAGATTCTTTTTTTTGTAAATCGACACATAATATACATAGAAAACACTCGGCTCCATACAAGCAATCACTCATGAACACAAATATTTGCATCGTGCGAGGAATCGAATCCGCGATCACCTAAACCACCGAAGCCGTCTAATTACTATCCGAGAGATATAAGACAAAGTTCTTTTGATGTCGGCCTAATTTGAACATGGTCTTTTTGATTGCAAGTAGTATATAATCGGGGTAGTAAACCAATAGGCCACAACGCTTCAATCTTCAATAAAAAATCATTGCAAGATATTAATTCACATGGAATGTTCCTTTCAAATGCTATGTGAAATTCCTAGAATACTGCGCATTGAGCACACACGGAATCACAATGACCAACTGACACGGCTGGATCTCTTCAGTGTTCTACATTGACTGACACGAACATTCCCATATAGTAGAGATCAGATGTGACCCTTGCCATAGACGGCAAACGTGGTTAAAATTGTACCTGATTTGGAAAACTCTAGATCTGCTCACATATTACTTTTATTTTTAGTAACAATACAAAAGATGCAGAGATATATTCTTGCAACATTTATTACGGCGGGCCGTGGTGCAGTGACAGATCTCGTCTATTTTAAATATCAATGAATCTCATTGTAGGTCTAACAGTTTTGTTACATAGGTGCAACATAAATCTTCGTCAACTAAGTTCGTTTTAAAAAATAACATATTAGAAGCTTGAATTTGAAATAAATAATTCAAATAAATAAACATTTGTCATTTTTAACAGATAATCTGTTGCAAAACAAAGAAATCTTTACAAATCTGGCGGAATACATTATTGTGTATTCAGCCAGATTTGCAAAGATTTTTTAATAATTTCAACAGACAGTTCTCTGTGTTCTACAGCGATATGCATTTGTTTTATGTGTTGTATTTCTGCATATTGTACATCACTAATTCTATTCGACTTATACCGACGATTTGGTGTATTAATGGTTTTTCCATCAATACACATCCACGGACCTCGTTGAGATACACACATCATTAGGAATAAACCATGTTAACTATTATCCATTCCCAACTTTAGCACACTGGCCCGGATTGTGGAATAATTGGTGATTACAAGACTGTCGTCAGCGATGTTTCTAATACCTTTATAGCAAACGATTTCCTCTATTTATGGTCAATTATGATAATGGTTCGCGGCAACAACAAAGCACAGTTTAGCTTACAAGTCACGTACGCATTCTGATGTGATTAAAATAAAATGCCTAGTAGAGTCATTTACTTGTGTTCATAATTTTCCATTATATTCACACTTAATCGTTGACTACAAAAACACTAACATAAAATAAACAGTTTCGTCATTGGGAAACAAAAAAAGAAAACTAAAAATACTCCTTACACATAATAAATATACGATCTTGACTTTCAGAATTGTATCTTTGATCAGTCGATAGGTCAGAAAACATTAATGTCAATTTTATGAAAGTATTGATGTAGTTTTGATATCCCTATAAACTTCGTTTTCCTCTTTTATCTTAATTTCCGTTTGTATCCTATATTTGTCTTGTATAATGCCTTATATAAATATCTCTCTCTCTACATAAAATCTAAATTTATAATTTTATTTTGTGTATAAATATGCTTAAGAGAATGGAGTTTTTTACTCACCATAGCTTGCTCGATCTTGTTGTCGATCGCCACCGCGCTTGTACCCGATGCGCTGTAACAAAGAAAAATTAATGCAATTAGCTAGATAGTTAATAATTAATTAATTACAAATAATTAGACACAAAACGCAATGACCGGTTTAACAGACAATGATATATTTAAAAAATCTCTATGATTAGGAGTCCATAATCCTATAGATTTAACAGGTATCACATGAACTAGTCGCAGATGTTCGCTAGTTTCATAATTACATTAATGTCGAGTATAAAATATTTCAAATATGAAATAACTATTCAGCGCAACAGTGAGTTGAATTAGTAAACAAAATACATTTAGTGTTAACAATTTAATTTAACATTCCGCGTAAACAAAATTACCTATTTATTGGCATTGAGGAATGCGTAATGAATCAGCTTATCGGAAATGTGTAAAAGAAATGCGACAAAATTCAGCAAATAAACGATATTTTGTCGACCGTAGAAAATTGGAAAGGCGGTGTGAATTCATACAATCGTGTTTAAACACACCAAATTGTGTCACTAATGGCTATGATGTGTATGAACCAGTAATTTTGAGAAAAGCTTCCGTTTGAGGGACGGATTATTATGTTAATGTAGGAGTATTGTGTATAAATATTGCCAAACCAGTAACACGACCGATGAAGCGGCCGCAATTGTAACAAAACTGGCGAACAATGGAGCATGTTAACGGTACGATAGGGTTCCTGTACCCCACTTCTCTACATAATTGTAGTTGAAATGGGTAACAATAGCCACCGTATCCAATACAAGTCGATATAATAAAGTCATATCATATTCATTTTCCTATCTTCCCTCGACATTGACGTTCATTACTGTCTCGACGTTGAAAGCAACCGGAAACATGTTGCTTGCCTACTGTGGACTACTTTAATGTTTGTGGCAATGCATGCATATGCATACGCAGTTACCTGTCCCGAATTAAATTCGTAAATTTCTTTAGTTATGTTTGAATAATTATAATATACATGTATAACATAAACGCCTTCATAATCCAGTTAGTGCAATTAATAATATATAATTTATAAAATGATAATACCTATAATTTTCATTATATAATGAATAATAATTACTTAATCATTAATATTAACCACTCAAAATATATAAATATTTAGAATGTACTTCTTTATGCTTATATAGTCATACCGTAAAATATTTATGAAAATTTTTCTCTGCGCCATGTCCCAGTTAAGGAATTAAACCAACAAAGCAAGCACGCAACAAATAAAGGTCGATGACCCTTTCAGGCCTTTATCATGTGTAAGATTTTCGTCAAACACCATCTAGAGCGCATTATGATGTAGGAATACTAAAAGTGCATGAAATAACAGTACATGTTTATTTTACATCATCGCTTAAATTGCACTTAAATTTCGAACGTTGTTTAAAAAAGACAACGTGTATTCAGAAGAATTTAAGAAATTTTATGAACATAAAACATAATCAATTGTTGTCAATCATTTGTTAATTATTGCTACAGTGACGTGTTAGTAAATCATCTACAAAATCAGTATCTTAAAGCTGTCATACGTTAAAATGGTAAACTTTGTTTTAGGTTGATTATAATTATGACGTCTAACCGCAACTTCTTTCCAGTGATTAATACAGATCGGCATTAAGCCTACGTCCTTCTCCAAATTTTAATGCATGACGATCGTTAGTTAAACTGATATAGCGTAAAACATGTAAAAAACAAACTGGCTTTGGCTTTCATAACATATGTATATAATACGTAATAAAATATATAAAGAGCATATATTTAGGAAACATGTTTTATAGCGTATCTTCAGAAATATATTCCATACTACTTGATAAAACCGGACTTGGCGTTATTTTAAATGCTACCGTTTCATCGAAATTATCTATTATGATCCAGTCTTGCTCATGTAATCGACCTGTCGTATGTATGTAGCACGATGCACGGTCATAGATCTACATAGGAGACTTTCTACTGCAAAGATATCACGTCACGTCAACGATCTGAATATATTCTGTCAAACACTGGCGCTCAAAAAGATGTAGCGTAAGATTTGTTTGATAAATTCTATTATGATATATTTACACCATGAGTTACAAGAATAAACCCCAATACCAGAGTACAAAATCCCTATAACGTATTCCGTTGTATTTTAGAATGTAAATTAGACATAGGATGTAATATAACATATAGTAACTGTAGTTGTAAATTTTCAGTTGAGTGACAACCTTTGAAAGCTAATTCCAATTCCAACAATAAAATAAAGATAAAAAGCGGCTTTCTCTAAGCGGAACTCGACAAAAACAAGTTTAAGTATTCTGTCAACGATTACGCAAGTTTGGAGTTGACAAAATTGCAGGCAGTAACGAGGCACATGAAAAAGTAGAAACACAGGTGAACAAAATTCAGTGAGAAGTAGAGAAAGTATTTGTGTACCACTCAATGTTTCACTGTGAAGACCACGACTAAACGGTACTAATTAAGTACGAAATGAAGCATCACAAGTCTTTATTATTTTAGGTTCGCCGCACTGTTGGGCGACATTGCAAGAAGACTTTCACGCCTAATATCTATAGTAAACAGTTGCGAATAGTACAGAGTAAACCACTATCAAAACATACTAGAAAACATTCCTAGCAGCAAAATATTTACTAATATAGAAAGAAACGTGGTTTTAGAATTAAGAACATAAATGTTATTGGCTTCCATGAACATTTAAATGTAAAATTTGGCTATGTAGACGTTTGAAGATGCCGAACAAATAAAAATGTAAAAGAAAGATGTTAAGTAAATATGAACATCAAACAAAGAGATATCCGTTTTGTCTTCATGCACGTGCATACGTGTTGATTACCTTGCTGTATTGCTTTAGCAAGTAGACATCTCTAAACAAAGACGTAAGAATTATTGTCGTATTCTAAAGGCGAATAGATTTTTTCACTAAACAATATATACAATAGAGTCGTTATAATTATATACATGCTCATTCTCACAACGTAATTAACGGCGCTATTAAAATAGCATCTGCTAAGTATGTTGTTACAAAATTGCTTTACTAAATCTGTTAAATAGCTTTTTTGCTGTCATATATAACATATTAATTATTTAAAATAATATTATGGTTAGGAGTAAGTAAAGACTCCGAAATAATAGACATGTTTTCGACATTTTCACATCAATAACATGGTGAAGGTAAATGGATAACATTGTTGATTATTTATTTAGTGTTATTTTACAAAAACCAAGCGAACAAAAGAATTTCCAATATATTCATTCAATTTGGGTGTGAAAATGAAAATATTCCGCAAGCTTATACATTAGAAAATAGCTGTGTGCGTGATACCAATCACATAATTTTTAATTGTTTTTCATGTATCAGTGAAAGTGTTGTAAATTGTTGTCATCATGATAATAACAAAGGGCACGGTGAATCATGCTTTTACGAATTGCGTTGTAATTGTAAAACAATACCACCTAGAAAACAAAGGTCGTGGTAAAGTTATGCGAGCCGCATGAAAATTTAATGTGTTAGTCATGGACTGAAACGAAACTTAAGTGGCACTTTGGGACACCAACAATAAACATTAATTGTAAGTGGAACATTCTACGAGACAGTTAATATTGCATCAAATAGCTTGTCAAATGAATTGTGGCTTTTATTAGCCGCGCGATGATTATTATTGTGATTGTTGCAAACACTTTAATTATTAATGCCTTCATAAACATGACGTATGTCTTGTGTATAATAAGAACATTTTTATAACAAAATTATCTATACAAATTGTAACAGCGTAGAGTTACCATGAGTATCATGAGGTTGTAGTGAGAACATGTTATTGTATAGCGAACGAAGGTCATTGAAGGGAAATCGACGCTGAAGTGTAGTGTCGACAAAGCGGTGGCGCCATTGGCTCAATAGCAGTTGTTACATCTCGTTACTATGTTTCATAATGCCGCATTCAACTTTCAATTACCGAAGAAAATAGCATGGTGCATTGAAGAATATAACCGATGGTTGTGTACATCACGTGTTACTAATTTTCATTACTTTTACCTCTCTCGAGATATCGAGATTAAAATTTGGTGAAATACGAATTTATGTAAAGAATGAAATGGTCAAGTGAGGTAAAGAGCAAGGACGTGAACAATAAAATTAATTTGACACAAAGGATATTAGTAGGACACAGGGGGAACATTGTATCCAGTAGTCACGCGAAACGGTCACGCAATTGTAGCTTTCCCTAGAATTTCACGAAACCATACCGCGGTTATGAATGACTTAATTTTAAACAGTTCATACTTTATTAATTTTATGAATCGACAAAATGTTTTGGAACGAAACGTTTTAAGTAATTTAAATCCATTCATATTTGCGATGTCTTTCGTATTTGGAAGGAACGATTATGGACCGAGAATGGTCAGAAATATAACAATTACTCATCGAAAGATCCTGGGAACGACTAAAAATAACACTAGGTTCATGCAAAACATTTGTAAATGTGGTGAATGAAAGCACAATGTTCTATCCTAATCTGCCAAGTCAACGTGACAATAGATTTTTTTAAAAACTATGTATAGTTAGTGCACTGGATCGATACTGTAGTCGGACGAAACAAACACATTGGTTCAATAGGCGGCGCTGACGTCAACCAATCGAAACGGTTTGTCTGGCTGCAGCCGGCCACGTTGCTGTAGAACCTTCACCGACTTACCGGCTTGGTAATTAGCTGAGCACCGTGAGAACCTTCAAATAAATAACGCCTAGAAAATACAGCCAAGTGAGCTTATGATACATTACAAGGTCTGCAATGCGTCAATAGCTGAGGCTTTGAAGACTAAAGGCAAGGAGTACTTACACTGGGTAGAAGTAGTCGATGTATTTGACTACGACTTCCCTTAGTAGATCTTGCTTGTTCATGATGGATGTATAATTTGCACTTATCAGTTTAGTCTGCATGGCTCCCACTTGGCTTAAAGTTTGCACTGGGCGGGACTTTCGAGTCCCAGTTGTTGGGTTTAATGGAGCCGTTTTTGAGG